AATACTGGACTCGAATGATTCTCTCTAGAAATGCTGAATTTAAAAGTTTACCTCCAACCCTAAATGTTTTATTACCAACATTTTCTCCCCATCAGATCAACACAGAACAGCTCAATCAAATGTTTGGCTCTCTGTCAGCATTATCCATTACAAAAGAAAAACATGGCTACACAATCAAAACACTGCTTGCTGAACTTTTTTTTTGAAAAAAGACATCAATCAACCAAGCCTGTCGTAAATTTAGCAGGGCTCGACACTCTAGACCACTTATGATTTTTTCAATAAATTTTTATTATGGAGGCATAAAGTGTTTCGGCGGTTTTTAAAGTGAAATATGATTTTTTGCTCTTAAGGCCCGCCATCATCAGGTGCCCGACCTTGAGTATAAGTCTTAAGCTATTGTAAGCGTGACTTAATTATCATTTCGCCTATGTTTTTGTGTTTACTGTAGGCGATTATTGGTTCATCGATAAATAACTCTTTGCAAATTGTGTCTGTTTGCAAAATGTTCCAGTGTTTAAGAAGGCGTTTTTTAAAACCCTTGACATATGGATTGTATTTGGTAATCATAACATTTGGTTGACGCTGTTTTTCTTTCATGATTTTTTCGTGCAAGTACTTTTTTCTGTTTGTTTTGCCTATTTCAGTGATAATAGGATCGATTTCCTTATCAGAGTAGCCTCTCTTGATTAAGTGTGTCTTAAAGTTTGCTAAAACTGTTGTCAGGATAGATGAATCACTTGTATTTCTTGCATGTCTGATGCATTCACCTTTTACAAGTCCTTTAAATACTGAAGGACTGTGGGCGCTCTCTCTGTGTAAATACTGAAAATTATTTGTTGGTTTTACATATGATTGTATATCGAGGACCTTACTCTTTTGGAATCTCTGGCCTTTGTACACTGTGGTGTCAAGAAAGTTAACACTTTTATCTGAGATTTCAAAGGTGAATTTTAAGTGATCGTGACAGGTATTGCCGATATTATTTTACAAAAACATGGAGCGAAGACCCACTATACCTTAAAAGTACACTTTTATGACAAAACATTCGCATCTTTCCGAAAAATACTTCAAGTCCATTAAGTCAAGGGTCATATCACAAACATGATTTAAATGTCCGATATATTCACGAGCCATACGCATGTAGCATAGTGGTTAGTTTGTTAGTCTCAAAGCAGTATGATACTTCGGATTTTTATTGCTTAGGGGTTCGATTCCCACGAATACCATCTTATAATTATTTTTATAAAAGAAAACTTTTTACAAGATTTTTTTTCTTTAAGAAGTTATTTTTTTTCTCATAATTTCATAAATTTTAATAATGAGAAGTTAATTTAAATACCGAATTCACATATTGAATATGATTTTTAATATCCGACGCTATTGGCATTCTGCACGCCTTGTTCACCTATCTTCTTTCGTTATCAATTTATCATGCATTTTAGACCATTGCTTTCTTAATTATAAGTCTCTTGTTATCATTTATAAAATAAATACGGTATAGTTTAAAAGTAGAGCATTCAAAAAAGGTCATGTTTACAATCTATTAAAATATCTTTAATAGAAATCAGTGAAATCTGAAACTTTAATTCCCTGTTATCAAATCCTGTATCTACCAATGTTCTTTTTTAGCTATGGTGGAGGTGTAAAAAGTGTTATTTAATTGCCTCGGCAGGGGTTCTGCCTCTTCAGAATGTTAAAATAAGTGAAATACATTATGAGTGGATAATTTAAAGAAAAATAAAGTTCAAAACCCACTATATCACTCAATTTCTAAAGTCTGATTCAGGTAAAAGATCCTTAAATTACGCCAAAAATTCTACCTGTATTCGTTGATACTTATCAGAGTAACGTCAAAACGTTTTAGAAAGTACTTTGAACAGGCTGGATTTTAAATCAGAGTAATGAAACAAGTGTGTCTAAACATATATATGTATATATAGGATCTCCCATGGTTTGTAGTTGGATATGATTTTTATCCAACGAGTTGTGTGATATTTAAAAACACTGAACGAGTTGGATAAAAATCATAACCAACAACAAATCATTGGAAATTCTTTTTATCCCATGTTCGATACTTCACAACCGATGTTTTACACTGTTTTTATACTGAACTCCGCTCTATTTAACTCCATTACGCTAACGAAAAATACATTATGTGGGATATGAAAACTATATCACATTAGCTATTTCCATGGGATAAAGGGGTAAAGATGGGTTTAATTCTTATACTGAATAGTATCTTAGATTTAACAGTACTACGAAAACTTATATGTTTAGTTAAAACCTTCTGATATTATGTAGTTTTACAAAAATGTAATATTTATTCCCATTTTACCTTCACTTCATTTTTTTTAATAAAAGCTTGCAGGAACATGCAGCCATTCGTCTTATTTGTCGGCAGCCAATTAGAAGTTTCTTAACAGAATATCATCTTGAATATTTGTTTAGGGATTTTATTTTTTTTTTCATATCCATTGTTTTAGACTTGTCAGGAAAACATAGCAGGATGGTCATTAAAAAGTCATTTGTTGAAGCTCATCCACTTTGACTAAAGGAGGTTGGCTGCTGTCATCAAAAGCATTGAGAACTTTTCGTCAACTATAATTTTAGAATCTACACACTTACTAGCTAAACTAAAAAAAAATCAAACAAAAAATCAGGGATAGCGCGCTTCTTTTAGCACTACGACGCAATTAATATGACCTTTTTGCACTGTAACTGCGTCTATAACATTTATAATTTTTCAAATTTTTTATTTCACATTTTTTATCCAAAGTAATTATGGGAAAAACAGTCTTTTTCATCTAGAAAATTTGTAGCATTAAATATAGTTTCAAATTACTTCGCGCAGTTAATTATTTGACCTTTCTGCACTCAGAAATTGATATTTTTCTGGAGTTTAAAATTTGAAAAGCAATAAAGTTATTTGAAAGTAAGGATTTTTTTTTCAAAATTTAAGTAGAATGATCAAAATTATCTTATATGTTCAGGGAATGAATGAAAACTGGGGGGTCTCTGATATTATTTTTCAGATATTACAAAAATAGTTATAATTTAAAGCTTAAAGTGGGCTTTTTTCATGGTCATTCATGATAAATTTGATGTTATTGCCAAAATTGATGATAGAATTCATGAGAATTAATTTAATGTTTGATTTAGGACCAGCACAGAATTTCCACTGCACAAGATCACCCTGTGTGCAGGTTGTAAAAAAATACTGAATTCGTCAGAAAAAGAAAAATTGATTATTTTCTTCTATAAATCCTCTCGCCACATAAAATAGCGGTATTGAATTTAATTGTGGGGTTTTCAATGAATATAGTGTAATTAGCATAATAGAATCCAAATTTATTGTTTGTAAGACCTTAACTATAATTTAGTATATTTTAAATACAGGTCAAGACAAAATATATGCATGCTCAAAAGCTAAGGAGCGAACCTTAGGCCAAAGTCAAGAAATGAAAATTTGTTTTACCTATTGAAAGATCTCGTCTCTGGTAATATAATTGTGAAATTATACGTAAAAGTAAAATTTTAAGGTCAAGGACAGATTAATGGTGCCAAGGGAAGGTCATTTCACAAGATATAAATATTGAAGGAATAACTTTCTTATTTTTTCCATTGCATGATGTGATCAATCGATTCAGAGTTCTTAAACTAATAACAATTCGATGAGTTACTGACAGAGAACACAGAATTTCTTTGTAGGTAAAACTCATATGAAAACACAAAGCAGCGGTTGTGTCAACATCCATCTTCTTAACCCAAAAAAGATACAATAACACCTTTTACAAAATGATTTTTGTGGCGGCCGCCAGATACATAAGTGAAGGCCGCCAAATAATAAGTGGTAGCCGCCAGATAAAATATTTTTCCTACGTGGCAACAACGGGCTTCCGTAGTATTCAATCTCAAAGTCCATCAAACAGTATAAAACAAGAGCAAAGCGAATTCGGACCTCCACAACAACAGAGGTAGGATCAGGTGCGATGGAGGAGTGAGCTACCTTGCTGAGCGGTCACACCCGCCGTGTGCTCCTTGTCTTTGTAACCCGTCGGTAGAGATCAGTAACAGTAGTCTTGGGTTTTTTGATATTTTATATATGGATAATAAACCTACAACATTCATACAAAATACGAAACATTTATACTTTACACACAATTCACTAACTTTAAATATCCGTACTTTACACCAACTTTACATTTAAATTACTTAAATATATATTCAACTGGAAATTATGAATATATATATATATAAAAGCTTACCAGTCTACATCGCCCTATATCCTATACATAATTTGCGTGCTGCTACCTTGACGGTGTGCATGGGTATGGGCGGACAGGTAGTAAAAACAGGTTTTGTTAGTGAATACAACTCACTCTCTCTCTCATACATCCCTTTCTCTCTATCCTACTAGATCACGTGACACTGACAGCGAATGACAACGAAGACAGACAAACAATGAACTAACCACAAATACCGATAGGTGGATCCAACATCCAACACCTGGCTACATCTTGATCAGGAAATAACGAGCAAATCAAATCGAAAAAAAAGTAATCGCCAGTTTTAGTTACCTGCGCTCAATTTAAGAATTGTTTATGATAGTTACTTAAAGAAATGCATATAATAAATTAATATACGAAACAAGGTCCGATATTTACAACAGCCTTTAAAGAATGTTAGAAAACAATTATGCATTCAAGTTTAAACAAAAGAAATGAATCTCTATGAATAAATCCATGTTAGTTTCTTAACATTCACTATAAAAAAAACACTATACGTATATTAATGCAAAAAAAGATAGATTACATACATATTAAGTAGAACTTAGAATGCAAAATCCTAAAAATCATTCTGTCTAAATAAAGCGTTTTTATTGTTAATATTTCTAATTTCTTTTTTCTTTAAGGTCATTCGACATGGATTCCCTTATCTTTCCCGAGTAGGTACAATTGAAAAAATGGGATAAATATCACATTTCGGATTATTTCATTTCACATGTATTTGATTTGTTTCACTTTACCACTGAGAAATTCTGCTACGTAGAGGTTGTCTTTTTTATCTACACATAAACCCCATGGACGCTTTAGATCACAGTTATCAATGTAACGGAGGAACTGTCCGTCTTGATCTAGGATGTGGATACAATTGTCGTTATTGTTTATTATCAGGATCTGACTCTGGCTGTCTGTTGTGATGCTTTGTGGTTTAAATGGTCCACTCTGATTATATGGATGACCGTTGTACCTAAATCGCAGTGTTCCTGCCTTATTGACAACAACCACTGATTTGGCTTTGTAGTCCGCCACGCAAATATCCTGATTTCGGTTCTCACTAATGTTTTTAAGGTGATGATATGAAAACAGAGGGTCATTTTTATCGTCAAACTGAATGCTTTGTTTCTCTATATTGGAGTCAGAATAACGGACAACTCTCGATTGTTTATCCACTATGGATCGTTTTTCATTACTTAGCATGGTAACCAGAAGGTCAGCAGTTGAGGTGACGCAGACATAGTATGGTATCCACTCCTGTAGTCTGATTAATTCTTGTATCTGGCTATTCTTCACAATGTTTACAGTTCTTGTTATATCATTAGTATAAACTAGATCTCCACTATTTGTCACAGCTATGTCCCCTATTCTCATACTGGTTTGCACTAACTTTAGTACTTTGCCCTCTTTATTATAGGAATTAATGATATCTGTATTCCAACACGTCCAGATTTCTTCATCACTGAGACAGGTAACACTGAATAGTGGATTATATCTAGTGTCTATTGTTGTGATGATCTCTGGTTCATCAAGCATTGGTTTGGGTGAAGGACAGGATACAGCTTCTTTTGTCTTCAATATGTAACCACGTGGGACTGATGTAATGGGTAATGCAGACACAGAACAAAAACTTTGATAGAGCTGTTCTCTGTTGATCTGATGAGGGAAGAAACTGGGTAATGATATATTAATTTTAGGAGGTAAACTTCTGAATTCATCATTCCTGGATTTGTATGCAGAGGTTCGGGAGACATCATTGGCGTCCAGAATTTTTTTCATCTCAAGAATACTTTCATTCAGGTCAGAAGTTATCTCCATAATTTTTTCTTCTTCTTCATTTAGCGAAGCCAAGTACTTTTCTTTCATCTCACCGATTTCAGATTTTCTTTTGTTGACAATGATGTTAATTTCTCTGTGCCAGTCTTCCCCTTGTTGTGTGATTGTTGTTGTCAGCTTTTCGAAATGTCCCACCACGTGTGCTTTTTCAGTTTTCAAATCTGATGCTATTTTTTCATATACAGGATTGAATTCTTTCTCCAATTCCGTCAAGTCTCTTCCTAATTCCTCCGTTTTAGAACTAATGAATTTTCGCATATCTAATAAATCATGTCCTGTATGTTTCCCTGAAGAGATGCAAGTAGTACAGACTGGAATGTCACATTTCTTACAGTAAAGTTCACATTGTTTCTTGGAATGATTTTGGCATTTTGGGAAATCGGAAAAAGTTCTATGTTTGTATGGCACTACATTGTGTCTTTTTGATGAATCAGAGAGATGGTCCCCTACACAGGCCTTACACAGGTTTATCTGACAAAGTTCACAGTGACTCTGTAATGCAGCTGTTTGACAGAGGTCACAAAGAAGAAGCTCTTGGGCGCTGGTGCGGGGGTCCATGATATGTAGCTCAGTCATATAATATGGATAATGCTGTAAAGACAAATATAGACTTTTACTAAAACAGAATATTTGCAAAATAACGTAGTACTACAACGAACAGCTGACATCGGACGTCAGACTTTACAAGGCAAGCATTTCAAAGGGAGCGGTATAGAAAAAAAATAGAAAATAAAATAATCATATCAAATCATTTGAAATGTATATGCCTTTAATGACTATTTATAAAATTAAATCAAAGTATCTTGAAATTAGTATTTTGAGTATCAAATATGACATACAAAGAAGTCCGTAATGTAGTGTGCATGTAATCTTAGCAAGGATATGGAGATAACAAACAGTATTCAATCTCAAAGTCCATAAAACAATACAAAATAAGAGCGAGCAAACAAGGACCCCCGAAACATCAGATGTGGGATCAGGTGCCATGGAGGAGTGAGCACCCCCTGTCGACCGGTCATACCCGCCGTGTGCTCCTTGTCATGATCAGGTTATAAGGAAAAAATCCGTTGTCAATTCAGTGTATAAATAATGGACTAACAATAGGTATATAAAAAAACGTCAGTCAGCATTTGATTCAGTGATAAATTGTATTCGCTGAAAAGGTCATTGATCGACCATAGAACTCACGAAATAATGACTTTAAATGAGACTGCCGATATTCTTGTTTCATCAACTTGCTTGTCAATAATTTACCTCGTTTTAGAAATTGTTCATACGTATAGCATGCTCTTGCGTATTGAATCAACTGAGATATATATACTCCGTATGCAAATAAATTATACAGAAGCTACATATCCATTCACATTCTGTACTTTTTTATTTACAAACTGAAAGTACAACTTCCGATCTATTAGTAAGTGATGGATAAACTTTATTTTCTAGATGTCCTGCATAGCTTATTGATCCTTTCATATTGAGAAAAAAATAAAAGTAACGATTAGATCAACTTGGTATGAAGACGAAAAAAATTTGGAAATCAGGAAAGTAGTGAGCTTGTCAAGTTTTTATTGTCAAATATATCACTGCGTTACCATTTAGGAAAAGCACAATCAATATGTAATGACGCATTCTTCTTTAATTATACACTATGTCGGTTATCATTTTAAATATGGATGAAATGATACATTCTATGCCTCGAATGAAGTACAGGGAGGTTGCATTTTTTGCAGGTAGAAGGGGATGAGAAAAACTTGACAACCAAAATAAAAAGTAAATTGTCCAAATTCAAAAATCCTACATGTCTTTCGTTGGAGAAATATCTGTATGTGGCGGGATGTTTGGTTCCAACTTCTTCTTTCAGTATCAAAGTTATTTATACATACAGTCGCACCTGCTGTTACGGCCACCTTTAATCAGCGGCCACTCCTCATGAGCGGCCAGTTTCAATCCCGCCCGTTCATTTTTTCACTATATTTTAACTCATTTAAGCGGCCACCTGTCTAACGCGGCCAGTGGCCAGTGTTTTTAGGTCCCGTTCGCTCAACATGCCTGTTTTCAGCGGCCATTTTGTCTGTTTTGTCACATGACTTCCGCCTGTCATGTGACCTCGCATCCTAATACGAAGCCAAACATGAACAGCTGATAATGAGTTAATGACCAATAATTGCAGGTGTAATTTGAATCCTGTCTGGATTTAATTATTTAATTAATATGTTTAAATGATTTATTGTTAAAAGATCTTTATTGATGTTCTTAATATACAAAGTAAGTTGTTGAATATTTTCATGACATAAACTCAATAAACTACATTATTACAATTCAATTTCGCTTGAGGTTATCAAGTCAAACGGTCAGTCTCACCTTTTAATTTTTTTATGCTAAATAAATAAATATATATCTAGAAAAACTGAAAAAAAAACTTTACACAGTATCAGGGAAATGCTAAGTTATTAGAACATTTTATGACTTCCTGTGATGTAAATTCTATGGCTGTAAAAATTTAATTACCAACGCACACAAAAAAAAAATCAATTACAGATTTCTTTTAGAAATTCATGTTAGATTAAATGTAAAAGGGATTTCATTTGATTAAAATTTTTTTAAATGTTTTGAAATTGGATTTGGATACGTGTGAAAATAAATACACAACCGTGGTCGCAATTTTTTGTTCATTGGATTGAAACCTGGAATAAGTGGCCACCTGTCTTATGTGGCCAATTTGTCATTCTCCCACGAGTGGCCTCTTAAAACAGGTTTGACTGTAGTTACATTTCTATAAGAGCCTTCTTTGATTTAACTTGTATATTGCATAAAAAATTGTTGTTACCGTTTTTAATAAATATTTTCGTACTTACATGTAATGAAAAAATGAAAAATTAAATTCAGATAGTAGTATATACGCTAGTTGAAAATATTTAAGTGCAAGAAAGCACATTATTGAGTTTAATGTTTCTCTAATTCTAAAAAAAAACTACCGTAAATCTGGACATTTTTGCTGTCGATAAATTTTTTAGCAAATTTGCGAGTTCATTGTATTCGAAAAAATATTTTTCTTAAAAATAATTCAACAATAAGAAAGTGTAACAAAAAAAGTTGTCATTCGCAAAATTTTGAAACGTAAAAAATTAATCAACAGCATTTTGACCCAGATTCGCAAAATAAAATCGACGTAAAAATTTCCAGATTTACGGTATTTGGGGTATATTGCATATCTTTGCCCCCACAAGAGTCAAATTTTGATTTTTTTTTTTAAATATGCTGAATTCTATAAATTGTATGAGAAATATAAATTAACAGAACATATTATAGTTTCAAGTAGTTTATTGACAATTAATATTTTTATGACTTCACAAACAAGTCCGATTTTATGTCATTGTTTAAAAAGAGGACAAAATTGACAAAATTTCAACAATTGTAGCTTTAAAATTTATAGAGCGCAAGTTAGCTCAGGAACCACATTTACGTATTACATTGATATTATCATTTTACACATTATATCAAAATACTGACCCTGATCAGATCTGTGCTCGGTCACTTTCACTAAAAAGATCGACGTAATTTATACAGTTTTCCGTAGAAATCATGGAAATTTTAAATTCACGTCATTTTCGTGACGTCATTTCAAACATATGACGTCATTGCTTATGAAAATATTCACTGCTTTGAAGTCAGCATATATCCCCCTGTTTTAGACATAATCAAATATTTCTCCGTCAAAGTTTGATTTTGGGGGAAAATATTGGTTATTACCAAATAAAGTCCTTTCAAGGTGCAGGAATTTGAATTTGGGCATGAAGTCTGTCTAGGCAGGAGAATTTTTTTTTTTAATTGATCGCTAGAATTTTAAATGCATCATCTGAGTACCTAGGTGGATAATAATACAAGTATTTCATATTCATATATATATATATATATATATATATATATATATATATATATATATATATATATATATATATATATATATATATATATATATATATATATATATATACAGTACCGACCGGACACAACCTAACACCAGAGCGAACCCGGAGCGGACCCCGGGTTCGCTTCACGGGTTCGCTCGGGGTCCGCTTCGGGTTCGCTTTCAGAAATTTTGGGACCGCTCCGGGTGCGCTTTGTGTGCGCTCCGGGTTCGCTCGGGGTCAGCTCTGGGTCCGCTAGAGCGAACCCGGTGTTCGCTTCCCGGGACCGCTTTACGCACCGAAGCGTGAAGCGGACCCCGCTTTAATCTCACCGCCAATAAGCCCCGCCCCTTGTATATTCCAATACAGTAATGGTATTGTGGATCGATCATTTTTGTTTATGCGGCGATGCGGACATATACACTATAAATGTAAACAGTGATATAATGGAGAATATAAATAACTTTTCTAAAATGCAACTGTACATCATTCGACGTAGATTTACATGTACATGAATAATTGATTTCCTTAATTTCTCGATCCCGAGAAATTCAAACTAATTTAACAGCGGATTATATGGCATTTATTTTTCTTAAGTTATAACGAGAAAAACAAAAAGAAGAGGAAGAAAAGAGTGTTGAATTAATTTTCAGTGTATCGAATGGTGTACAAGTGAAACAGACGAAAGAAATGTAAACTAAATGCCTTTTAAAGTCATGCTTTATATAGTTTAAAAATACATTAATTTGTTATTCCTTACGTTTTGCTAAATCGTAGTTTAAATGTTTGCTTAACAAGTGAATTATGATATCGCATCTATAAATTACATGTAACTTTTTGTACATCTGATATATTTAGATTTCATTTATAGTAGTTACACATTAAAAGTTCGTAATAAATATTTACCGGACATTTTCTAAAAAAAAAAATACAGTACCGACCGGACACAACCTAACACCAGAGCGAACCCGGAGCGGACCCCGGGTTCGCTTTACGGGTTCGCTCGGGGTCCGCTTCGGGTTCGCTTTCAGAAATTTTGGGACCGCTCCGGGTGCGCTTTGGGTGCGCTCCGGGTTCGCTCCGCGTTCGCTCGGGGTCAGCTCTGGGTCCGCTAGAGCGAACCCGGTGTTCGCTTCCTGGGACCGCTTTACGCACTGATGCGTGAAGCGGACCCCGCTTTAATCTCACCGCCAGTAAGCCCCGCCCCTTGTATATTCCTATACAATAATGGTATTATGGATCGATCATTGTTGTTTAAGCGACGATGCGGACATGTACACTGTACATGTAAACAGTGACATTATGGAGAACATTGATAAATTTTCTAAAATTAAACTGTTTATTCGACGTTGATTTACATGTACATGAATAATTGATTTCTTTGATTTTTCTACCCCGAGAAATTCAAGCTAATTTAATAGCAAGTTATAAGGCTTTTATTTTTCTTAAGTTATAACGAGAAAACAAAAAAGAAGAGGAAGAAAAGAGTGTTGAATTGATTTTCAGTGTATCGAATGGTGTACAAGTGAAACTGACGAAAGAAATTTAAACTGAATACCTTTTAAATTCATGCTTTATATACAAAGTTTAAAAATACATTTGTTATTCCTTACGTTTTGCTATATCGTAATTTGAATGTTTACTAAACAC